GCTTCGTTCATTTTCGCCTGTATTTTCGCTTGAGCCATGATGGTGAGCGATACCGTTACTGTGATCCGTCCCGGAGAGGAGAGGAAACCCTATGTGAGCTGAGCAGTCCGAGCCGCCCAGCTGACCGCAGCGCCACAGGGACAACATCTCCTTACATGGGCTTCAACTTCCTTCACTCATTCCTCACAGAAGTTTCCCGAGGAGCCCAGAACAAGGACCCCTGGTTGTCCCATAGCAGCTTTAGCAACCCCTCAGAAATTCTTTAAGCTATACTTTAAATCCCTTCACATGTTCACAGACATAAAACTGCTTTGGTAGCCGCCACTTATTTTCAAATCTTTATCTCACAAATATATTCAGGTGAAATGTTTAGCCCAAATGTCTTATATGATGGGTCTGTTGCAATATTCATCATTGCAATTTTTTAAATATAAAACCTTTTTAACTTATTCATTTTTGTGATTATGGATTTCAATGACTAAAACATGACTGTATATTTTATGTATACCTTTAATAAACTGCCCAATTCAATATGCCTTGTTCTACTCAACTTGCTGAAGGTTCTGTAATTGCTAGATGAAAATTGGATGAGCTTCTTCACACTGTTGTTTCTGAAACTATAGCCACACAGGTGACAGCTGCCAAATTCTACAACTAGGAAGGTTCAGTCCCAGTTAACTTGTTCCCTTAAGTGCATAAGCACAGTGTTTACTCCAGTGCACCATGTACCCTGTCATTCAAACTGGTTCATCATATTTCTGAAGCACAAGACAATAAGGCCTCTTGCAGTACTCTTGACTCCTGAGCTGTGCAATACAGACATAAGCCTGGTCGTTTTCATTTTAAGGGAATGGTCTGATATTCTTTCCGATCAAGGTCAGGACCCGTATGGGAGCACTTGTGGAAGGACTGGCTCTCATAATACAGCAGATTCAAGTGTCCAGTGGAGACCGACTGCAATTAAAGACATAATTAGCACGGAGGTCACAAGTTCAGCTAAGGCATCCTGCAGTGTGTTGACACACCAAAGTGCTGAGTCTTCACAACAGCCACAAACCAACCTTCCAAAATGGGGGATCTGGCAACAACAGTAAGATCTGGGTGGTACACTGTAGAGAGGGTTTGTAAAAATGAAGTCTGTTATACGGTGCATTTAATTCAAAAACATGGAAAAATTACACAAGTTAGCCTTTATTTAATACAGTTGGAACACCATTACCTTATACAAAACATTTCACCATATTGTCTGATGAACACAAAAGCTATGAAGCCCTTAGAATTCCACAAGACTTCTTTTAAGAGCTTCTTCCAACTCTGTTAAAAAAAAGGAATAAACATATCTGTGACAGTATGTCCAAATAAAACACTGCAAGTTTCAACAACACTGTAACAAGAAACATTAGTTTCCTCCATTTGTTCACATTTTAATACTCTCGATCTATCCTACAAAGCACTTGAACATTATTTAGTAAACTAACATCTTGAGTTATATTACCCTACCTGCAGACTCTCTTGCTTCTTCTGCACTCAAAGACAGTGCATGCTTCATCTCGTCATCTGAACCATCTGTAATAGAATACACAATAAAAGGGCAGCAGGTTAATCAAAATTTGCATTAATGAAGAAACTTAAAAATGCCCACACACAAGTTGCATAGTATGTGAGGGATGTCTTTTCTTAATTTTATAGTTAGGATTCCTCTTCTATGAAATATTTCTCATGGCTTTTCAAAAAAAGAAAAAAAAAAGCACAGTGATGTAACATAACACCTGTAAATGTAAAAAAAAAATTAAAAATAACACTATTTGCCTGGCAGCTTTTTGTCAGTGTGGAGTGGCTACAGTATGTGTTTACTGCTTACTTTCATATACTTCACTCTCTTTGTTGGCTTCATCGATGTTCAAAAACTTCACCAACACTTCATCTTCAATCTCTGCAAATCATTTGAAAATGGAATTAAGTGCTGCATGCAAACGGAGGTAATATAATATGTCAAAACAACTGATTTTACCATTGTTGTCTGGTTTGAGCTCCATAGCATCAAGTATTTTTACAGTTGTGGCTTCTACTTTCAGGTCTTTTCTGCAGGTCCTGTTCATACAGGGTTCCAGGGTGCAGTGTTGGGAGTGATAGTGTTTATGGAAACTTGGCACATCCGTAAAACTGTCCTGGCAGGCTTTACATTCTACTTCAAAAGTCTTGTCCAGGTCCAAGGCTGCGTGCCGTGTGTGGACGTGAGTCTTCATCTGTGCATAGGAAGGCACAGACACACCACAAGGAGCACACACATACTGACACCTTCCTTCAGTGGCCAGATTCCTCATGCATTGTGTAAATGTAGCTTTCATTTCCTCTTTGCTCTTTTCTGAACCCATGCATTGGCATATAAGCTGGCTAGTGCTTTCAGCTACAGCAGTCTGAACACCTTCAGCATCATCCATACAGTAGTAGTCGTTACTGTGAAGACTCTTGTAGTGCTCCAAGAACTCGTCTTCGGATTCAAACCGCATGCTGTCACAGAGGCCGCAGAAGTGGGAGCTGTTTATGTGCCCACCGTGCTCATTCACGCAGTGTCTACGTACAGTGGACTCTTTAAAGAACTTCTGAGGGCAGTGTCCACAGATGAATCTCTGAAAGCTGTGACTGCTCATGTCACTGCAGTGTCTGCGGACGGCTGCCTCCGAGTCAAAGGTGTCCTCACACATCCTGCACATCCAAGTCTGCTCTCCTTCTGAAGACGATGACACGGCTGTGTTCTGCTGGATGGTGAAAGATGACTGCAGGATGACATCGCCGCTGGTAGATGGCTTGGCATCGGTGACTGCGGCAAGCTCCTCGGGCACTTCCAGCTCGGTGAAGTAGGTATGTCCACTGTGCGCTTCCGACACGTGCAGCAGGATATCTTCATGCTGAGGCATTTCTACCTTGCACTTGCGGCAGTAGAAGAGAAAGTTCGTAAGATGAGCCCCCCCATGAAAGCGACTCATATGCAGGCGGGTGACTGAAGACTCTCCCATGTGTTTGCCACACACGCCACACTGATGGAAAATTTGGTTCACAGACAAGAGATGCTTACTGGCTGCAGCCTCCTCTGAGAACTGTAGACCACACTCACAGTACCATGCTGTTACTAAGTTTCTGCTAGTGCTGCCATTCACACTCGGGCTTAGTCTTTGTCGTTTACCTGGAAGATCTTCCCAATCACTTCTCTTCTTGTTTCTTTTTTGAAAAGATGTTTCAAGGCCAGCGGACTGTCTTTTCTCTTTAGCACTGTGGGTTTCACTAAACCTACAGTGCTGAAGAAGTGCTTTCGCCATTGTTTGATTGACCTCCACATCATGCTGGGTCGATTCTTTGTGTCTCTTAATTTCACCTTGGCTGAGGAAGACTTTGCAGCAGAGGGAGCACTGCCCTTGCACTTGCAGCTGTTTCATTACCTGCACTATTGTTTTATCAGCCTTTGCCACCGCACAGCCCTGTCTGCAGTACACACTAAAAGAAAGGACAACAAAGAACCTAAATTAAGAAAGATTTACACAAAACCAGTGTCTGCGCTACAAACATTCAACACTGTTCAATATCAATATGCTAGAATAATCTCAACGAAACTTACTTAAAGTGCGCTTGAGCTGCCTGATGTGAGATCAGTACTTCGTGACATAAAGAGCATCGGACTTTGAATGTTACATCCTTGCACAAAGTAATGAGACGGTTCTTAATGTACTGCGGGACAGGAAGTGGCAGTGCTCTTCCTCTGGGTTCTTAAACAAGAGGAAAACAAGTAAAAGTATTTTTGCTCATATAATACCTCAAGGTATTAGAGGTAGAAATCATATATTGCCACTTAACTGTATTTTCACTCCTCCATGCACATTGTGATTTAGATCCCTGTGAAATCTCGATCTCATGTGACAATGATTCTGCCATCTTTGCATTAAGGGAGATGCCTTGCAACAAACCAAGCGCTCCCTTTTCCTTGCTAAATTGTGTTAACCAATAGCAGAAATGTGTTACATCACATGACAAGCCGTAAAAAGGAAAAGAAGACTGATTCAAAACCAAATCCAACATGTTTGACACTGTGAAAGATATTCTGTGCCGTCCTGCAACTGTTTTTCAAACATTGAGCTGCCGGCTCTATACACCTAGTGCTGAACAGCAGCTGAGGCAGAAATAAGTCATTTTGAGGTTATAAGTTGCAGTTATTGGTGAACACAGCTTAGGGAGGACAAGGGAGCGCTTGGTTTGGTGCAAAGGATCTCACTACTAATGAAAACACCACAGAATTATTGTCGCATGAGACTGAGATCACATAGGTATCTAAATCACGCTCACAGGCCTAATAAAGGTGTATAAAAAATAAAAATGTTCAATAAACCTTACCATTCATGGCGAGCGACTCTGTGAAGTGGTTTTTGGTTGACATGTGCAGAAAACACTCGTCTCGGAGGCTGAAGAGAAGGCAGCAGGCAGGACAGGCAAAACACACAATCTGCTGGTAGGTCTGAGTGATTAAGTGACCGTCAGCAGTAGATGAGGACACCTAATGATTAAAACACAGTCAGAATTTATTATTTTGCTTTTCTGAATCAATAGCCAACTATGACTTTTAACAACAAATTAATAAAATGTTGACAGAGCAGGAGTCTTTAGGAACCTTAGTCTTAAGATGTTCCCTCCATGCTTCTTTGGTTTGAAAATACTGACCACAGGCAACACAGGCAAAAAACTCAGACGGGCTCCCTTTAAGATTTATGGTTGGGTCACAGGGGGAGTGATCAAATCTGCACACAAAATATTTTTGCTTCAATAATTTGTACTGAAGAAAACAATTCAAAGTATTATAACTATTCTAAAAATGAAAATAATAATAATAATCATCACCTTTTTAAGTGCCCATCAAGGAGAGATACATTATCATAAACTCTACCACAGTTAATCACTGGACAAGTGTGTAGAGTTGAATTATTTCTGGGGATAGAAACAGGTCTGTGCCTTCTTCCAAAACCAGCACTGATCACTCCAGGTTTAAGGCCTAAATAAACACAAAGGCACGTTATAATCAGGGGCACACGTAACTGACAGCTTCTTTCAACACACTGTAGCATAGTGACAGGATGCCGTCTCATTTGCGTGTCTAGATTACTTAAAACAAAATTATACTGTAATCATCCCTGTAAAGAGAGTGAGTCACTGCATCAGCAAATGTAAAATACAAATCACTACATGACAGCAAAACGTTTTAAGTTATTCTGTGGGTTTGAATCAACACAAATACTGACAGAATGACTGAAAACACCGTGAGTGACTATGTAACAGCTTTCTGATCTAGATTAAAAATGTACCTGGCATCTTTAACCACATGTCCACACAGCGTTTCGCTTCCTGACTTGTACCGTTCATCAGATTGAAGGCCAGCTCCTGCTGTCCATGAGCTTGTTGTAAAACCTGCTTCTCCTGAAAGAGGCAAAAAGAACAGAGCAGTAACAGAATATTTCCTGCCAAGCTTTTCACACCTGCCTTATACGACAGACACGTCAGTGAAAACCAAAAGTTTAACATTGATTCTCTAAGTGCTGTTCAGCCTTGCATTGTAGGTTGCACCATTTATTTGCTTTGTACCCATTCTGCCCACCAGGTGTCACTCTTGCTCCTACAACTGACCTTAATTGACCCCACATACCATCAGATAAAAAAAAAAAATCCCTACTTGGCATAAATTACTCTTTAAACAAAAAAATACAAATAACTTCTATTTATAGAGTTGTTAATAAGACTGAACACAATAGTCTGACACACACACACACACAATTTTATTATGATTAACAAATGGCAGCAACTTCTTTTATGTTGAGCAATCTCACCTTGAACGCTCTGCATTTATCTGCTCGCTCCTTTTTCTCTAGAGCGACCTGGTGTGCTAGTCTGTCGAGTGTAGACGTAACTTGTGCTTTATGACGGCTGATTTTATCTTCAAGCTACAGTGGACAGAAAAGGCACAACAATTTCAGACAGATATTCACAGTGTCCATTTTTTTAAAAAGTGTTCTATTCAGCCACTCACTGTGCCTGTAAATGACGAACATCCCTCATCCTCACTATCACTGAGCAGATCTATACATTCCAATACTGGTCTGAGGTGGCCCTCCTGAAACAAGTACAAGACACTATGTCATTTACTGTTATAAACACACATATATTATACACCTAAGGATGTCTGCCAACCCTGTGCAATGCAAAAAGGGTGGTATCTTATTTTGACATCACCAAGAAAACACAGTGGCCTATTGGTACAGTTATAACAATAAACAGAGCATATGTTAATTTTGTTAAGGGAATCAAATTGACATATTTATGAATTAAATAAAACAAGAAATCAGTCTGATTTTCAGGTTAGGTCTACAGCATAGCACAATTAATCCAGTCAACAGACAAGCATTTGCAACCAATTATCATAGCCACTGAACCTACTGATTTTTTTTAAAACAAAAGTGTGCAAGCCTTACTGATACAAACTCCACTTCTTCCTCCGCCTCATTTTCATCTGTTTGAGTTTGCGAAGACATTTATCTGAGGGGGAAAAATAAACGAATATAAAATGTGAAGCTGCGGCCATAACTCCAAACATACATGTATAAGCAGAAGTGATGTGCAACGTATTTACGGGTTGAGCTGATGCGACAACTCACGGTAATAAACCGTGTTGCTCTGCCGTCCACTCGTTTATTCACAGAATAAAACAAAGAGAAAATCAACTTCCTGTGTCTCATACAATGGCGCCAAAAGGCCATCACAAATTAATCCTTAAGTAACCACAGGTTTACAATAAATTTCAATTCAAATGAAGTTGACACTCAGCTGCATTACTCAAATAGAACAATTTTAAATCAAACTTATGCATATTACAAAAATGGCACTTAACCTACATTAAGCCCCTCGGCCTCCACTAGCAGCACTGTGCGCCCGAGCTGCAGAACAGTCCTGCAATGGACGACCAAGTAGGCGCCACAGTAGATCGTAGGGCTTATGGGCTGTATTGAGCGAGTTTAACGTTAACGCACGTTAACGTAAGCCGCACCCCCATCGATGCAACTCGTATTTTTGCTACTTTACATACATTTTCAATGACGTGACATATCCTAAGCTTCCGCTAATAAGTTGATCTCCATCGCTAGCATGGGTTTGTATTTCAACGACCGTTTAGTCAGCCCCTTTACTGTCAGCAGAAATCTTGAAATGAATGCTTCTTCACTGACAGCAATCCAGGACTTCCAGCGTTCGGGGTCTTGGGAAGCTAAGTTTAGCTGTTGCGCTAGCTCTTTGACTTGTGCGGTTGCAACAGCTTTAACCAACCTAAGCATCTCAGGTAAACACACTAAAGTTGTACTTGGGTTAGTGTTAATCACATAGGATTAAAATCAAGAAAAGTATAAACCTGAGCATCAGGTTACCCACTGCTTGTTCTGTTGACTCCTCAATTAACAGAGCGATAGCTTGTTTTCCCTTCTTCTTCTTCATGGATCTTTTTTTTAACGGCCTTTGGCATCTAGCTTAATAGGAGCATTACCGCCTCCTTCTGCTTCGGAGTGTGGGTCAACGTTCACATTCTACACATTAGACCTGTCTGTCCCAAATACATAAAATCCTGGCCAGGCCACTTGATATTTCCAAAAATTAAATAAAAAATTTAATTTAATTACGGACTTCCAGCCCTTCTACATTCTTTCTTCATTTCCTGTCTTTCCTGTTCATATTGCTGACAATACGTAATAGCGTGTTAGTGTGCTTGCATATTGTTTTAAGTGTACTGTTTAAGTTAAAATGTCCCAATTTCATTCTGTTGAAAATAAACTTCTCTCTCCTCGGCCTACCTATATTCCTGTAAATGTAATTCATTTTATTATAAATACTATAAAGTATCCACCCCCTTGTTTCCATGTTGCACTGGAATCGAAACAGTTCTTAATTCCTGAATTACTTAATGGAACTTGTAGATCTACTGGTTCTCTATGTATGGTTTGTCCACCTCTTCATTTCCCTTCAAATCTACATGCTGGCAGCCACATAAAATGGATTATTATTATTTTATATGTTCCTATTTCTTCTTCTTTTGTAGTTAATGGCGGTTTGCATGCCATCTTAAGGTGCAGTACCGCCACCTACGACAGAGCGGTAGCTATCTGCAATTTCCAAAATCAAAATAAACGCAGTCTGCTCTGCGACGTCATGTGTATGTGGAAGCACGGCTTTTCAACTGCAGAGCCACAGTTATGTAATACGGGTGTGATACTGCTGTGATGACCACAAACAGTACACGTAGCCCATGTGGTCATCAGACAGACCACGTGTAACTTCTGTGCAACAATAATGTGCGGTCATCTAGGACAAATAACTGTACACACATGTTTTAATAATGTTTGTACATAAATGCATTTTGATCATGTGAGCTAATGTTCCATTATGTAAAAGAAGACAGGCTTTACTTACAAATCCAAAGTCATATTGTGTTTTGAATATGGACACAGTTTGATATACACAAACAATACAGGCTATAGTGTTTCATATGTAAAAACAAGAAAACAGGCCTGTAGCCTACTCACGCCAGCGTCAGAGCTGTTTGTCAGACTGCACATTTGGCCTTTCAAAGGTTCAAATAAAGCTTTGTCAACTATAACACTTTGTTTGCCCAATGTTTAATCCGACTGAAGAAAAGAAAAGTTAAAAATGATATCAGCTCATCCAAAAATGACATAACTGACGCTGAGTTGGATTTGGTTTCTGTTTTCTCTCTAATCCTGGACATAGCACCTCATTTCGGGGCCTATAGCTACACCATGGTTAGTTTTTTACAGGCATGCTAAGCGTTTATAGAAAAATATAGACTACTTAGGCTGCAGTATATTGCGAATAATAATAGGCCAGGCTATCAGGGACCTTGTAGTTTTTTTTGTAGGATAAAAAACAAATGTGTTCCCTATCTCACTGGACTGTTGAGTTTCACAGACATTCAATAGGTTATATGTCCGTATACTGTTATTAGTAGCGTGTCGACGCGTTATTTTTGGACAGTCGACTCTGCAGCAGATGACTGCGATGCTCAGATGAATCCGCTGACTCTTCCTGTGCCTTAGAAAAATAAATAAATTAAACTTGCGTCTCTGCTGAGTCATGCATTGTGCCTCAGTGGTCTGGGCCGTCTGCTGCACAGTGAACGTTTTCCACGGTTTGCTGTGCGCCGCTCCACGTAGCCTGTGTGTCACTCAGTGGTTTTATTCTCATCTCCAGCTTGAGGCGAGGAGAGGAGCCAGCTGTCTCAGGCTGCGGGATCTGTCCTACATCTCGCTTTATGATGATCGCTGCGGCGTTTTTAGTCCTGTTAAGGCCGTACAGTATTCAATGTGTGTTGCTACTATTGTTGCTTTTGCTCGGGACTATTGCGACAATTTTGTTTTTCTGCTGTTGGCATCGCAGGCTTCGTAATGCAAAGCATCCAATAAAATCTGTGTTGTCCGGACGCTCCAAGAGCCGCGGTGAGTAGCGCAGGCCAGCCGCATCTCCTCATCCTGTCATCTCATCTTGGTACATTAATGTGTACTCTTTTTGTGTAGTCTTTCTGTTAGCAAAATCAGTTGGTCTGAAATGTTTCTAGGTTGTTACTATAGGCTTCCAAACACATGCATAGCTATTGATTTGTCATCATTTATGGAAGGATAAATGCTGGGTCATCTTTCTAACATCTGTTGTCTGTCCTGTAGTTGGCCTCCGAACGCATCATTTTCGATCAGAGGTAGGATGAACTTTTTATATATTGGGTAATATCGAAAAGCTGGGAGGAGTCATGTTTTAACCGAGTCATGTTTAAAGTCCTATGCCCATGCATGGCCACCTGGCATTTTCAATTATAATATGCTTTACTCAAAAGTTAGTTTCTATGTACTGCGTGGCTAATCCAGGGACCATGATGTGCGCAATGCGCATGTGTTTTTAATAAATAATACATAAGTTTGCACTTTCATTCTTTGCCCTGAAACTGTTTATATGTGTTCTCAGAAATACACAGACTAGACTAAAACAGTGTAAGTGAGCCGAACGAAACCTCTTTAATTTTATAATCCCTAAGCTGCATTTGCTGTGGTTTGACGCTGACTAAATGCGTCAAGTAGATCCTAATAGGTCGATTTCCGTTTTACACACTGTGCTTTCAAAATAAAATCTTCTAAACTGGGGGGAAAGCCGAAAAATGGTTAATTTAAAAAACATCCATGAAAACAGCCTAAAAACCTTCAGGAATCCTATTTTATATGAAATAGTTCCAGTGGGTAACTGATCTTTAAGGGCCCATGGAAAGGATAATTTTATTGAAACTAAAAATTGTTGGTGGAAAGGAATTTTAGCACAGCCATTTATTTAACTGGCCATAAGGCCATGTCTTTTTCTTTCTCTGTTTGTTTGTTTTCCAACATATTTATTTATATGCCGACAGTAAAAATAAGGATATTGCAATATGTGATTATCTGTGGTTTTGAAGCTCCAGAAGCAAAAGCTCTAAAGGTTGCCTTTGTCAGGTAGCTGTATTGAACCATAGGACACTGAGTCCCTGCCGGCTCAGTACTGTAGCTGGTAGGCATTCAATATCTTGCTGAAAGACACAATAGGAGGACATTTTAGCCTTAATGTTGTAGAATAGTCCCCCTGACCATCATAGCTGTTAAGTCCAACAATAAGCAGGACTTGAAGAAAAACTCGTCTAAAGACGATGGTGATACTTACAAATATCAATGTTATTGAAATGTTTGCTTTTCCTTATCCTATTGATTTGAGTTCTGACCCTGAGGTCTAGGTCATAAGGTTTTTAGTTTCTTGCGAAATCATCTAAATTTTAAATCTTCTATCAGGTTGAAATGTGTTCATGTTTCCCAGGGCTTCAGACACAGCCCACGTCACATAAAAAGGAGCATACATGCACGAGTGACAGAAGAAAAGCCCGGTCTGGTCGAGGTTCCTGAGAGTGAACCCGATTCATCATCAACTCTAAGAAAACGTAAAGTGAAGAAAAGAGTCCTGCCAGAGTTTTATCAGTCTGTGCAATTCACCCCGACACGCAAAGCTGTAAGTACTCCCCAGTACTGTAACTATGATTATTATTGAAGATTAAGTGATAATATTTCTGCTTGCTCCCCTCCACAGGGACATCAGTGTGCCTTTGAAGCCTGTAAGGATTCAGTAACTTGCTCAAGTAAACAGGGCAAGTGTGTAAACCCTGCTCTTGAAGGATGGTTATCTGTATTTGATATCTTATGTTAGATAAGATGACAAATATGGCTCAAAAAAGTATTTTTACATCTAAATCATAGTCAGTGGCTTCAAACATATGAAAACTGCAGCTTTAACACTAATGAAAATAAGGACATCAAAAGAAGTTTCAAGGGATTTTAAAGGCAGAATCTTCCATTAATAAAATGCTGGGAATATAATTTAAAGCATATAAAATGGTTAATTTGTGCATCATTCACAGTACTTGAATAATAGGTATGTACCCAAGCTCAGTTCTAACATATTGCCTTTTTTTGTAGTCTAGCAACATGCTGGTATGTGGCCTTTCTAATACGTCTGTTAACAAACTTACTATGATGACATGGGAACATGATATGAGTCCTCATATATTATACACTGGCAAGAAATCCGACCTTCATCAATGTTTGTTGGACACACTGATTGAACAATTAACCATTTGCTGTGCCGGTGGATTTTATTACTGGGTGAACCTTCTTTGCCAGCAATAATCTCAGACAAGCACTTTTTGTATCTGCAGCATATTGTTCTGCGACATCACCCAGCTTCTACCGAGCCTCATCTAATGGACGGCTACCCTGATTTTGTTCTGTAAGACACCCTGATAAACTTGGGAATTAATTTCTCTCTTGATGATGCCAAACTGTCCAGACTTAGAAGCAGCAAAGGAGCTCCAAGTCATGATCTTCCCTCCATTTTTCTTCATTGTTGGGATGATGTTTTCATGTTGGTTTGCAGTGTTTGTTTGGTTGGTTGCCTTTTGGAGAGCAGTGGCTTCCTCCGTGCAAGTGTGCACCATGACTTGAGTATGCTAGCCTCATGGACAGAGATGTTAAGCAGCTCCAATGATTTCTGCTTTCTGCATTTTGCTTTGTGCCTTTGGAGTCATCTTTTAGCTGGGCGATCACTTCTAGGAGGCATAGCGACATTGCCTCTATGGATCATTTGTCCAGCTGTACACTAATGCCTATCTAAACTCTACGAGCACTGTAGCACCTTCCAACATTATCAACTCTTTTTGTGCGTTAAATCCTCTTAGACCTCTTTTTTTGTGAGGCATGGTGCACACCAGCAGATGTTTCTTGTGAATAGCAAATTCCAAATATTTTTTA